CAGCGGCTGTCCACAGCTGGAGCAGGAAAACGGAAAACCTCTGAGGGGGAAGGCTGAGCAGGTGGGTGTGAGACAGGGAGCGAGCCAGGCAGAGGTGAGGGGCAGGCCCACCTAGCTGGGACAGCGGCCTCTCCTGGCCCTGCCTCTCTCCAGCAAGGTGAGGAAGGGAGAAAGGCCAGCCCGTGTGCAGGAAGCCCCCAGGTAGCTCGGGGTCCTGGGAGCAGAGGGGAGGTGCGCCGGGGGCAGGTGTCCGCTGGGCTTGAGTCACGGGCTCGTTCTCCCATCTGGCTGCGCAGCGCCGGCCTCCGGGGACAGCGCCAAGATTCCGAGGCCTGTCCTGCTGTCACCACGTGCACAGCCTGGTGTGTGGCTCAGGGGCCAGAGCGATGTCAGCCAAGGGATCCTAGGTGACCTCCTGTCCCTGTGGCCAGGCGGATGCGGAGCAGAACAGGCTGGGGCTCAGGGCTGCAGCCCCGGGGCGGGGGGGCGAAAGAAGGGCTGAGTGGGTGCCAGTGGGGTGAAGGTGAGCAGAGAGGGGTGCCAGAGGGAAGCTGGGGCAGCTGGCGGGGGGAGGGGCCCAGGTGGGCAGGCTCAGGAGAGATTATGTGGCAGGCTGTGGAGGCCACAGCAGGGCTTTGAGAGGAGAGATTCAGGGAGCCGGATGTGGAGAGGGACGAGGAGGCGGGGTGTGATGGCTTGAGAGGAATGAGCCAGAGACGGATGTGTGGAAACTGCTTAGTTATTGAGAACCAGATGGTGTGGACACCATTTGGGCAGCTTGGGGGCACCAGGAGGGCCTGACCAGAGTACCCCCCAAGCTGTGGCCCACTTTGGTCAACAGCAAAGTGCTGATGGTCTGAGGGCGGCCACCCAGGTTCCCAACCTGAGACCAGTAAATGTGGGGACTTCCCAGGGCTGGGCTGAGGGGGACTCAGCCCCAGGAAAGTCTGGGAGGGCTGGGGGTGGGGAGGGGGCTGAGCCAGCACCCCATGACTCACCCACTTCCACTCAATCAGCCCAGCGGCATCTCCGCTCTCCTGCTCCAAATTCCAATTTGGTGAGGCGGCTGGAGACTTAGTCAGCACACGCACGGCACGAGAGCAGTGTCCCAAGGGGCTCCCTGCCAGACACCCCAGCCGCCCACCAGGGTCAGGCCCAGAGGTGGGGAGCCAAGTCAGATCCAGAGATGGCAGCAGCTTCAGAACGAGTGGGGTGTCTCAGCAAGATCCTGAGGGGCCTCTGTGGGGGCGCAGGGCTAAGTCTCAGCACTATGAAGCTGTCTGTCCGCAGCCACTGCCACAATCCCCAGCCAGGGAGGTGACCCATGTGGCGCAGCAGCCCTCTCCTGTCTCCCCACTGCTCCCCTCAGCAGTGTGTTTCAGTAGATCTGCCTGTTCTGCTCCCCACTGTGTCTGGTGAATCTTCTCACCACCCCCCCACACCTCCCAGCTCTTGTATGCATAAATAAATCTTTTTCTTTTTTTACTAGTACAGAACTGGGGTACAGGTCAGAGATGCAGAGGGTGAGAGGCTTCACCAGAGACAGAGCGGGGAGCAGAACAGGCAGATCGACGAAGCACACTGCTGAGGGGAGCAGCGGGCGGGCCAGGAGAGGTCTGCCACGCCATGTGGTCACCTCCGGGGCAGGCGGGGCTCGAACTCATGCGGAAGCGGCTTTAGCTTCTTAGTGCTGTGCTTTAACCCGCTGCGCCACCAGGGAGGGCCCAATAAGTCTTTTTTCAAAAGACCCCATGTGAACATGCCGTGGGCTGTGAAAGCTGCTAGGTGCAGGGCCAGGGGCCACGCTGAACATGAGGGGTGGCAGGGGCCAGGGTGCAAGTCCTGGCTCCACCTGACTCACTGAGGACCCCAAGGGGCTCCCCTCCACCACAGAATGGCCTTCGCCATGCTACGGCCTCTGAGAACAAGTGTCTGTGGAAGCGTGCTGCCAACCTTGCAGCGGCCCCGTGGCAGGCAGGTGGGGAAGGTGAGCGTGACGGGCTTCTTCTAGGATGTGAGGTTGTGCAGGCTGTTCACTGCACAAGGACACCCACACTAGGCTGCTGGGGTCTGGCCCACCCTCTGCTCACCAGGCTGCCGGCCTGGCCCAGAGCCGCTAGGACCAAGACGGTGCCTTTCTTGACAGGCACAACCACCCCTGTGGACGACAGCGGCCCCTCCGACTTGGCCAGCCCAGCCCTCTGGGTTTATGGGAAATCACTTACAAGCTGATTCCGATTCTTGGGGTGGAGGACAGTGAAGGTGTCTTTGCAGAGGCTCTGAGAAGCTCCCAGCCTGGCACTGAGATATAACTTATTACCGGGGGTGGCAACAGAGACCCAGCCCAGGCAGAGGCAGTCTCTCCCAGCCGGTCCCTCTCCAGCAGCCCAAGCAAGTCTCCATCAGTAGGGTATTTAAAAAAAACTCCAGACAGACCCGAGCTGGGCTTTATTGGAATGCCAGGAGCAGGCACACAAGGTAGCCGAGGAAGGAAGGTGGAGCAGGCTTTGAGGGGGCAGGCGCCATGTCCAGGGCCCTGGCACCCCTCTCTGCTAGGTGTTGAGTGGGCACAACTGCAGCCCCCCCGCAGCCCCCCAAGTGGCATGCTCAGGTCTGCAGGGCCTCTGCCCTGGACTGTGAAGGCTCCAAGGAGAGGCCGGAAGAACTAAGTTTTCTCCTTGTAGGGAGGAGGAAAAGAAGGGGAGGGTGCAGGAGGGGATGGAGGCCAGCAAGGCTGTCCTCCTGGGTGTTGGTACCCAGCCCGTGGTCCTCGCTGGCAGAGGGGAGCAGTGGCGAAGAGATGCTGAGGTTCAGCCGTCAGGGCGCCAGAGCCTCCAGCTGGTGGAGATTCGAGTCAGCCCCGAAAAGAAGTTCAAGGGGATCAAAGATGCGGGCAGTTCCCAAGTGACCTCGTCCTCAGAGCTGGGGTGGGCTTGGCCTCCTTGGGGTGAGGAGGAGGAAGACCAGAGGACTGATCCCTAGCAGGATGTGCAGAGGGCGGTCTCCCCAGGAGCCCCACTAGGTTAGTTCCACATTGTTGGCGCGGTCCAGCACACGGGAGCCACGAGCACTGCCCCCGAGCTGGAAACGGCTCTCATACAGCGTGGGGCAGAGGTGCCAGCGGTTGGCGCGGTAGATGCCCAGGTAGGTGTAGACGTCAGGCTTGTAGGTGAGCAGGCACTTAATGCCCGCTGCACGGATGGCCGCATCCGCCTCCAGTACATCCAAGCGGTCCGTGAAGTCATCTGTGTAAACACAGATGACCTGGCGCCCACCTTCCTTGGCCCGTGGGCTCACCTTGGCCACCTGAAGCCGGCCCTCAACCACGGCCCGTGCAATGCCAGCCCAGGCGTGGTCCAGCTTGAAGCCAGGGGCCAGGTGCATCAGCCACTTGCCGGAGAGCACGTGGTGGGTGATGGCCAGCTGGCGCAGGGTACCCGGCGTGACAGGCCGCCCGCTGATTTGAAGAGCCTCCCAGGCTGCCTGCAGGCCCTGCACGTCGCCCGAGTTGGGGACATAGCCCTGCCCGTAGGCTGCAATCCAGCCCACGGGTTCGGAGTTAGGGGAGCTGGGGTCCCCATAGCGGGTAACTTGGGATGGTGGGTACTTGGCCAACCAGGCATCCAGCTCCGTAGCAGGTGTGGTGCGGGCATCAAACACCAGCCAGGGGTCCATGTCAGCTGCCATGGCTTCTGCAGCCAGGTGCTCGGCAGTGAAGCCATCCTCTCTGCCACCTGGAGAGTCCTCCTCCTCCAGCTCTTCACCCGGCTCCATCCTGTCGTGAGGGAACCCAGTTAGGGCCAGTCCAGATCTACAGCATCCTGGACCCTAGTGGGTGCCAGGCCCTACGCTAAAATGTGCAGCCTGGGGCAAGATTTAATGCCACCATGCCTCAGTTGCTTCTTTACAAGGAGGACGCCCGGGGTGGAAAAAGGCGACATAAGGGTAGATGCTAATGTCATTACTATCACCCCTGACTTACAGAGGAGAAAACCGTGGCTCCGAGAAAGGAACTTATCCAAGGTCACGACCGGAGAGAGGGACAGGGCCAAAATGTAAATCGGCGAGTCCTGCCTCCAGCCTGCCAGTGACTGGCAGGTATCCCGGGCGCCGGGGTTCAATGGAGGGAAGCCAGGCAGCAGCACCAAGCCA